CGAGAAGGGCTGTCGCACTGAAAGGGGCACCCCCCACGGACCGCACGGGGCCAAGAGTGGGCCCGATCTGTGAGTCCGTGACAGGGGGCACCCGGCATTGGCCACTGTCGGTAGACAGGACACTGGGCTGGATGGACCTTTGGTCTGACCCAGTACGGCCGTTCTTATGGGGGGGGGCTTACGAGTAGCTGTGGTGCTGCTGGCGCCGGCGGGCCGTGCGCATCTTCTCGAACCGGGCCTCCATCTCCTCCAGCACCTTGGGCGTGTAGCGAACGACCAGCTTCACCGTCCCCTGGGCCGCCTTCAGCAGCTCCACAGCCTTCTCGTGCTGCTCCCCTTCCACACTCTGCCCCACGCACGGACAAACGGGGGTCAGGGGCACGGACCCCCCCCCCCGGCGCTGCCCCCCCGCCCCCTGCTCGCTGCTGCCTCCGTCTCCCCACGCGCTCAGCCCTCCCGGTCCCCAGGCCGGTCCCCCTGTGCTGCCTCATGTCCCTTCCCCATGGTCCCCATCATGCCCCCGCATCCTCCCTACATCCCTTCCTGGTGCCCCCCCCATGCTGGTGCCCCCCATGTCTCCTCCTGGAGCCCTCCCCCCACCCCCCCCCCCCCAGCCCCCGCTCACCACGCCGTTGACGGACAGCAGCTGGTCCCCCCGCTTGAGACCGCCGTGCCGGTCGGCGACGCCGCCGGGGATGACGCGGGAGATGTAGATGGGCGAGTTCTGCTCCTTGCCCCCCATGATGTTAAAGCCAAGCCCCTCGTCTGTCTTGGGCAGCTCCACCACCCGGGGGTGCGCATGGCCCTCGCTCGCCGCGAACGCCGCCACCGTGGCCTGGGGGCACAGACGCAGGGCGCTGGGGGGGGCGAGGCGCCCAAGGGAGAGGTCCCGAGGGGGGGCGGTGCCTGGGCCCGGCTCTTGGGGGAGGGGGGTTCCCCGGGGGGGGAGCGGGCGGGGCTAGGCCCAGCTCTCAGGGGTGGGGAATCCTCGAGGGGGGATGCAGTGGCCAGGCCCGGCTCTCAGGGATGGGGGGTTTCCCGGGGGGACGGTACCCAGGCCCGGCTCTCGGGGGTGGGGGGTCCC